ATACACACACACACTCACAGACACACACACACACACACTCACAGACACACACACGCACACACACACACTCACAGACACACGTCTAGTTCTGTCATTGTCTTCCGCATCACGTGATCAGTCCTCTCTAGGTACTGAGGGACAGTAGCATGCCAGATTTGTCCCCTTCTCTGATGCCAGTGCTTCAGTGCTGCCTGGTCCATCTCCTGAGTCCAAGGCTGTCTACTTGGTTTTTAATAAGTCAAAGGAAAACTCTCTAGAGTAATAATATCAAACATAGCAGGTGACTCCCTAAGCTACAGCACAACCGTGTGTTGTCACTGAGTGTGACAGCCTGTGCCCAATGGCTGCTTTCTCTGATTCCAAGTGCAGTGCTCCTGCTTACACCAGCCTTGTCACACATCCTGATGGCTCTGACCTCAGGGAGCTATAGGACACGGTCAGCTCCATTACTGTCTTAGGGGACCACCGTGGTCTGTGTGGCTCATCATTGTCTAGAGTGTTCACAGAACAGGACTGTATGTTTCCACTTTTAAAGAAGTTGAGAGAGAAGGACGGAAAGTGGGTGTGCATTTACGGTTTCTGCTCCAGGTGTTCTACTGTGTGTAGCTCCCTCCCTTGTTCCTGCAGATGCTAGGTCCACTCTGGGGATAATTTACACACCCAAGTTCAACTTCACGGCCCCCTACCTTGCTGTGATGCCACATACAAACACACCGTGTCTCTGTGCTCCATGCTGGGCTACACAGTGTGTGCGCGTTGCCTTACACAGACCCTTCTTAAATCAGCTATGAGAAAATGAATTTCTAATGTTTATAATCACACAAGACAATTACAAAATTACTAACATTGATGCCGTGTGTGTCTGTGTTCTAATCATGTTACAGGGCCACTGGAAGAAAGGCTCCCACTCGTTTTTGCTGTAAGGGGGGAAATGTTTTCTCGGCGAGCAACACCATCTGACCAATTTTTTTTTGCTTCTACGGTGGTGCCTTTATCTCATCTTCCGTTTTGAAGGTGGCCTTTGGATGTAAAGTTCAAGACTAACAGTTTCTCTGAGCAGCGCAAGGATCCCACTGTCTTCTGGCTGCCATTATCCCCCAGAGAAGTCAGCGGTTACACTTGATTTCTTTAGAGACTACAGCTTGCTTTTCCAGCTGTTTTTGGGCTTTTCCACTCACCCTTGGCTGTCAGTGTTTTTGCTTCTTGTATACAGCGTGCTTTACTGTCTGTAAATCTTAGAAATCACCATGTTTCCAGTTTGCTGAGCTTCCTCTATGGGTTTGGTCTTGAATCAACTTTAGAAAATTTCAGCTTTCATTTCTTCAAGTATTTTTTTTTCCCCTCTTTCTCCTTCTGTTTTCAGGATGTGTTTGCACTGGAATCTCTGTGGCTATGTGGACTTTTCTTTCCCTAAGTTTTCTGACTATGCAGTTTCTGTTGATCCGTTCTCAAGCCGTCACATGCATTTGGCATGTGGAGAGTTCTGCTGAGGCCATTTTACCCCCATCACTGCACTCTCAAATTGCAACATTTCCATTTCTTTGAAAATTTTTTTCCTCTTTATTGTGACTGAGACTATACTCAGGGTCCCATCCTGGGCCACACTCAGCCAGGATTAGTCACCTGTCCTTGATAAGCCAATGAAAACAGCCAAATGAATAATGATCACCCTGAGGGGAGGCATCTAATCACCTCAAGTCCATCTTCAGGGTCCTGAAGTAAGGCTGAGGCTCGTAGAAGGCTGCAGTGTGCACAGTCAGGCAGCTCTGGGCAAGTGTTGTCAGACCTACTGTCCACCCATCACTGGCTCTTCCGAAAGATGGTCTGACAAATTGTAAATCTAGTTCCTGGATAAAAACACTCCTCCTTCCCACGCCACTATTAGCCCATTTGGTGTGGGTTTTAGGTTTTCTCTTCTCGCACCTGAGACTCTTGGGAATTGTAGTTTCTGGAGGTCTATTGTTTTAAAAGCCCGATAGCCATTGTGAGAGACACTGTATCCCCAACAGCCTCTTGGAGTATCCTCACCTCTACAAGGCTGGCTTCACTCTGGTCTTTCTGATGTGTATAGTCATCTTGCCGCTTTGTAAACAACACTATTGCATTTCTATTTGTTTTTAATTCACAGAAATAACATTGACATTTTCATAATAATTTTGTACCTATAAGCTCTCTTTACTTTCATACGGCAGCTCACAACTGTCTATAACTCCAGTTATAGTCAGGATAAGCTTTCCTGTGTCTGAGCACTTCATAAACATCCTTACACATTCCCAGAAATGCTGGGGCACTCAAAACCACACAGCACATCTCTATGGTGTCTTGGGTGTGCGTGTCAGGCCCCATTTCCTTGGATTACTTAACAAACTTAACAAAATCAGGACTCCATCCCTTCAGAGACAGCTGTCAATATCCTCTATATAACAGCTCTCTGGGAAAAAAGAGCTTAGGAATTATTCACTTCACTTGACTTCTTGTAAGTCATTTTCATGGGACACTGGGGGAATTTCTTGTTTATTTACTGTCTGTCTAGGACAAACAGAGTCTCCTGATTCCCTTAACTCAGCCAACAGCAGCTTTGGCTTGGGTTGGAGCCAAGACTGACTCATCTGGAATGGACCCTGCCTGTCTGTCACTGCAGAGCTGCAGAAGCTGAGTCCCAAGAAGCGATCATAAGCTGCTTTCTGGTGGGCCAGAGAAGGGAGCGAGCAGGATCTGTGCCTGCAACCACAAGGCATGGAAGTGAACTCTTCATACTTACTCCTTAGCTTCTGAGTGAAGGACCTCAAGGGACTGCAGGAAGAAAACTTCCCCGTGTACACAGATATGTGCAACACAGACATGTGCAACGCATAGGCCTGCATGGATGCAGAGAGTCTGAGAGAGACAGAGTTAGGAAGAATAGTTCTGCAGGTTTTAACAAGCACAGTGCTTCCTGTATCTATGGCTTCCATCCCTGACAGAGTGGTTCCATCACCCTTAGAAACAGCCCTATTGACTCCCTATGGAGTCAGCGGCTCCTTGTTCCCTAAACCTTATTTATAATCCCAATCCATCTTCTGTCCATATACTCTTGTCATTTGAAGGGCGTCACATGAATGGAAATCTATTTGTGCAAAATCTTCAAGGTTCAAACTCTTGGTCAGGGACTTCACTGGCTTAGTTTTCGGTGAAGGAATTATGGTGGGTGTTGTCAAAGTGATGGGACCAAGTGTGGGAGGGAGAGATTAGAGGTGGTATTGTGATCAGAAGTCCCAGGAGACATACCTTAGCCCCTTCCAAAGGCGTTCGTTCAATGTTCAGCGACCTAAGCACCTCTTGTTGGACTCCATCTCTGGAACCTGCTGGACTCCATCTTCCAACGCTGAAATCCTCCACCAAGCTCCTAACATGTGGATTTTGGGGAGACAAACCATGCTCAAACCTGGCACTTCCCAGTCAGAGTCAGCTGGTCTCTGAGCTGACTGCTCACTGAGGTGTGGAACCTGGACTTGATCATCACTCCAAGTCATTGTAACCCATTTTCAAGAAAGAGCCAAAGACAGAATCTGAGGGATGTCCCTGTGTAGGTACTCCAGACACCCTTATGCCTAACAGCAAAGCCACTGACACTTCCAGGCAGCATCCTTGAGCTGCTTTGGGCTGGGCCTGGCATACATGTCAGGTATGTTCTGTTGGCTTTCAAGCTGTGCTCACATAGGAATTATTTAGGTCTTTCAGAAAAGCTTTTTTTTGAGAGATGATAGATTTTTGTTTGATATTCTACATCATCAGTCACACTAAAATGCCTTTGCATAAGTCAAAGGCAAGACGACTTTTAGATGCACAGAAGTCTAACTAAATTGGAACAGACAAGCGCAAAACCAGACTGCGATTGCTTTGTCATCTTTAATGGGTGCTTGCAACAGGTTGTGAATACAAACTGAAATGGGTGATTTTGTTCTGCTGTGAAATGACGTAGGGAATTCTTCTCTGGAAACATATTCGAATAGCCAGTTATATGAATATAAACATAAAAGCAACTTGGAGTAGGTTTGACCATTGTTGACTAATCCCAGTTTTATCTTTAGAAGGGGAAGCCGGGAAGGTACTAAACTGGAACCACTATGTTTAAAAAGAGTATGGTCACTTTGCTACAAGCCAGTGTTACTTAAATTTGAAACATTTGCTTAGCCATTCATGATCTAAAGTCTGGTGCATGCAACCAACTAAATCATAACATCACCAATCACAGGACACTCCTGTTTTTATAATTGAGACAGGGGCTATGTTTTCTGAGGTTTTCTGTCCCACCCAGTCCTTGTTTTGACTGGTTCCTACAATTGTTAAGTCCCAAAGAAATCACACAGAGGTCTACATTAATCATAAACGGACTGGCCTATTAGCTCAGGCATCTTATTAACTTATTAATATAAAACTTATATTAACCCATTATTTTAGTATATGTTAGCCACATGGCTCAGTACCTTTTTCAGTGGGGCAGGTCACATCTTCCTTCTTCTGTGTCTGGGCAGAATGGGCTTCCTCCTTCCCAGAATTCTCCTGTTCTCACTGACCCGCCTCTACTTCCTGTCTGGTTGTCCCGCCTATACTTCCGCCTGGCACTGGCCTATCAGTGTTTAATTAAAACATAATTGACAGAATACAGACAATTGTCCCACACCAGGGCTACTGCTCAGTAGTTGTTTAGAAATAAGCTACCAAGCCTGCCTTGTCTTTATTTTCCCCAATGCCAGCAAAGGTCATTCTGTTTCTGTTGCAGGTGGCACTGTTGGGACTCCTCAAATGCTCCCTCAGCATGTTCACAAGGCCCACATGCCAGTTGAATGTGGGAGGTGCATAAGTGAATCCAGTTCCTGACTTGTCTTAAGCCCAAACAGACGGCCATGATTAGGCCAGTCTTTCACTTGCCCCCTTTCTCATAGTGTGGTATGGATGCACAGTAAACTCTCCTCGCCTTTCCCTCCCTTACTCATTGTTCATTCTGCATTGGCTTCCAGGCCTCCCCGCTGCTCATCTGTCACGGACATGGTCCATGTTCCTCCTGACAAGAAGCTGGATGTCTTGCTCCCATTTCCAGAAAATTCATTAATACTTCTTGAAGGTCTGGATGGAAAAGAATAACTTTGCACTTTTGTCCTCCACAAAATGTGAGTGTTCTGTGGAGTGCCATCTCCTGAGTTCAAAGTCATTTCTTAAATCCTTGGAAGAGCAATGCAGCTACTAGCAAAAGTGTCTGCAGTGACAGCCAGGTTCTGCTTTGTCTTGGCACTCACTGACCTTTGCTGCCTGTCCTTCAGGGTGTGAAGATCAAGGCCACCACAATGCAAGCACGTGTGCTGTGACCCTCACCTGTGTGAATCCCTGCACTGCTGGCCTGAGCTGCAAGCAAAAGCCACACAAGAAAGGGCTCAAACTTTTTTACTTTTTACTTTTTGAGAGGGAAGAAAAACGGTGCCGTAAAAACACGTGAATCATCAGCTGTCACCATGCAGCATGAGAACCATTGTCACATCCGCTTTCCCCAGGTAGGTAGATATTTATTCTTAATGAGACTCTCTCTCCCTCCTTCCTTTCTTTCCTTCCTCTTTCCCCCTAGTTCTGGAATCTTCCTGTCCTGATGGCAGTGGTGAGGCACCTAGGAAAGAAATCTTTCACTCTTCTTTTCTATAGACAAGAGTCTCTTAATCCATGCTGGTATGGAGCTGGCTATGTAGTACAGGCTAGACTCAAATTCAGAATATTTTTTCCTCAGTCTCCCAGGTGCTGTGAGTAGAGGTAGAAGCCATTAAACCTGACTTTAGAAAAAAGCTTTTTAATGCTCTGACACCAAACAAAACCAAATAGCAACAAACCTGAAAAATTGTGAGGGAGTTAATTGTTGTTAAAGAAGTTGTTTCTGCAGTCATCAAAAGTCTCCCCCGCCCTCCAAAAAAAAAAAAACCACCCAAGACCCGATGGCTTCAACTCAGATTTCTACATGATTTTCAACGAAGAACTAATACCAATACTCCTCAAGTTGTTCTGAACAATAGAAACAGAAGGAACATTGCCAAAATCTTTTTTATGAGGTTACAATTACCCTGATACCCAAACCATATAAAGACATTACTAAGAAAGAGAATTACAGACCAGTCTCGCTCATGAACATTGATACAAAAATATGCAATAAAATACTAGAAAATTGAATCCAAGAACACATCAGAACTATCATCCACCATTATCAAGTCGGCTTCATTCCAGAGATGCAGGGATGGTTCAATATACAAAAATCTGTCAATGTAATCCACCATATAAACAAATTGAAAAATAAAAACCACATGATCATATTATTAGATGCTGAAAAAACTTTCAACGAAACACAACATATCTTCATGATAAAGGTCCTGGAGAGAGCAGGGATACAAAGAACATATCTAAACATAATAAAGGCAATATACAGTAAGCCAACAACCAACATAAACTAAAAAGAGAAACAGCGATCCCACTGAAATCAGGAACAGGACAAGGTTGTCTACTCTCTCCATATCTGTTCAATATAGTTCTTGAGGTCCTAACTAGAGCAATAAGACACCAAAAGGAGATCAGGAGGAAATCAGAAAATAAGTCAAACTCTCACTATTTGCTGATGATATGATAGTTTAGATAGGTGACCCCAAAAATTCTACCAAGGAATTTCTATAACTCATAAACACTTTCAGTAATGTAGGAGGATACAAGATTAACTCAAAAAAAATCAATAGCCCTCCTTTACACAGATGATAAATTGGCTGAGAAAGAAATCAGAGAAACACCACCCTTCACAATAGTCACAAATAGCATAAAATATCTCGGAGTAACTCTAACCAAACAAGTGGAAGAACTGTATGACAAGAACTTTAAATCTTTGAAGAAAGAAATTGAAGAAGACACCAGAAAGTGGAAAGATCACCCATGCTCTTGGGTAGGTAGAATTAACAAAGTAAAAATGGCAATCTTACTAAAAGCAATCTACAGATTCAGTGCAATGCCCATCAAATTCCCAGCAAAACTCTTCACAGATCTTGAACAGTACCTTCATATGGAAAATCAAAAAAAAAAAAAACCAAACCAAAATACCAAAACCAAAAGCAACAAACCAGGATAGCTAAAATAATCCTGTTCAATAAAAGAATTTCTGGAGACATCACAATCCCTGACTTCAAACTCTACTACAGAGCTACTGTACTGAAAACAGCCTGGTATTGGCATAAAAACAGACAGGAGGACCAATGGAACCTAATTAAAGAACTGGACATCAATCAACACACTTTTGAATACCTGATTTTTGACAAAGAATCAAAAAATATCAAATGGAAAAAAAGAAAGCATAGTTAACAAATGGTGCTGACATAACTGGATATCAACATGTAGAAGAATGAAAATAGATCCATATCTATCATGCATAAAACTCAAGTCCTAATGGATCAAAGACCTCAACATAAATCCAGCCACACTGAACCTCATAGAAGAGAAAGTGGGAAGTACACTTGAATGCATTGGCACAGGATACAACTTCCTAAATATAACCTCAATAGCACAGACACTGAGAGCAACAACTAATAAATGGGACCTCCTGAAACTGAAAAGCTTCTGTAAAGCAAAGGACACAGTCAACAAGACAAAATGACAGCCTACAAAATGGGAAAAGATCTTCACTAACCTCACATCAGATAGAGTTCTGATCTCTAAAATATACAAAGAACTCAAGAAATTGGTCATCAAAAGAGCAAATAATCTAATAAAAAATGGAGTATAGACCTAAGCAGAGAACTCTCAACAGAGGAATCTAAAACGGCTGAAAGACACTTAAGGAAATGTTCAACATCCTTAGTCATCAGAGAAATGCAAATCAATAACTCTGAGATTCCATCTTACACCTTTAAGAATGGTCAAGATCAAAAACACTGATGACAACTTATGCTGGAGAGGTTGGGGGGTAAAGGGAACACTCCTGCATTGCTAGTGGGAATGCAAGCTGGTACAGCCCCTTTGGATGTCAGTGTGGCAATTTCTCAGAAAATTAGGAAACAGAAATTTTTCTAACTTCCTCAAGACCCAGTAATACCACTTTTGGGTATATATCCAAAGGATGCTCAATCCTGCCACAAGGACATGTGCTTGGCTATGTTTATAGCAGCATTGTTTGTCATAGCCAGAACCTGGAAACAACCTAAATGCCCCTTGACTGAAGAATGAATAAGAAAAATGTGGTACATTTACACAATGGAGTATTACACCCAGAAAAAAGTAACGACATCTTGAACTTTGCAGGAAAATAGATGGAGCTAGAAAACATCATTTTGAGTGAGGTAACCTGTCACAGACACACAATTATCACATGTCCTAACTAATAAGTGGTTTTTAAACATAAAGCATAGAAAACCAGACTATAATTCACACTCCCAGAGAATCTAGACAACAATGAGGACTCTGAGAGAGACATACATGGGAAGTAGAAAAAGACAAGATCTCCTGAGCAAATAGGAAGCATAGGGACCTTGGAAGAGGATTGAAGGAGAGGGAAGAGGCAGGGAGGGTAGCAGAGAAAAATGTAGAGCTCAATAAATTCAATTAAAAAAAGAATTTAAACCTGTAAACCCACCCAGGAGGAGTAGAAGGCAACTCTAGGCTGAAATCAATAAAGTAGAAACAAAGAGAACAATACAAATAATTAATGAAATAAAGAATTGGGTCTTCAAAAAAATTAGCAAGATAGACAAACCTTTATCTAAAAGAACCAAAAGGTAAAGAGAGAATATCCAAACTAACAAAATCAGAAATGAAAAGGGGAACATAGCAATAGACACTGAGGAAATCCAGAGAATCATTAGGTTATACTTCAAAAACCTGTACTCCACAAATATTGGAAAATCTAAAAGAAATGTGTAATTTTCCGGATAGGTACCATATGCCAAAATTAAATCAAGACCAAATAAATAATTTAAATAGACCTACAACTCCTAAGGAAATAGAAATAATCATTAAAGTTCTCCCAACTAAAAAAGCCCAGGGCCAGATGGTTTCAGAGCAGAATTCTATCAGAATTTCAAAGAAGAGCTAATACCAACACTCCTCAAATTGTTGTACACAATAGAAACAAAAGGAACATTGCCAAATTCTTCTTATAGGGCCAAATCACATGAAGATTCAACAGGGAAAGAGAATTACAGACCAATCTCCCTCATGAACATCGATGCAAAAATATTCAATAAAATACTTGCAAACTGAATCTAAAAACACATCAAAAAAATCATCTAATATGATCAAGTTGGTTTCATCCCAGAGATGCAAGGATGGTTCAACATATGGAAATCCCTCAATATAATCCACCATATAAACAAATAGAAAGATAAGAATCACATGATCCTCTCATTAGATGCTGGAAAAGCCTCGACAAAATCTAACATCTTTTCACAGTTAAGGTTCTGGAGAGATCAGGGATACAAGAAACATACCTAAGCATAATAAAAGCAATATGCAGCAAGCCAACAGCCAACATGAAATTAAATGGTGAGAAACACAAAGCAATTCCATTTAAATCAGGAACAATAAAAAGCTGTCCACTCTTTTTAAATCAGTATAGTACTGGAAGTTCTAGTTAAAACAATAAGGCAACAAAAAAAAGATCAAGGGGATACTAATTAGGAAGGAAGAAGTCAAACGTTCACTAATTGGAACGTTTGCAGATGATACGATTATATACATAAGTGACCTCAAAAATTCTACTAGGGAACTCCTATGACTGATAAACACCTTTAGTAATGTAGCTGGATACAAGATTAAGTTAAAAGAAAAGCTCTCCTATTTACAAATGATAAGTGGGCTGAGAAAGAAATCAGGGAGATAATATCCTTTACAATAGCCACAAATAATATAAAATATCTTGGGGTAACTCTAGCCAAACAAGTGAAAGACCTATATGACAGGAACTTTAAATTTCTGAAGAAAGACATTAGAGAAGATATCAGAAAATGCAAAGATCTCTCATGCTCATGGATTGGTAGGATTAATATAGGAAAAATGGCTAACCAATCTTACCAAAAGCAATCTACAGATTCAAAGCAATCCCCATCAAAATCCCAACACAATCCTCACAGACCTCAAAAGAATAATACTAAAGTTCATCTAGAAAAACCAAAAACCTAGGATAGCCAAAACAATCCTGTATAACAAAGGAACTTCTGGAGGTATCACTACCCCTGACTTCAAGCTCTACTTTAGAGCTGTAGTAATAAAAACATCATGGTACTGGCACAAAAACAGAAAGGTAGAAGACACTGACATAAATCCACATACCTATGAACAACTTATTTTTGACAGAGAAATTATACAGTGGAAGAGAGAAAGCATATTTAACAAATGGTACTGGCATAACTGAATGTTTGCATGTAGAAGAAATCAAATAGATCCATATTTATATCCCTGCACAAAACTCAAGTCTAATCAGATCAAAGACATCAACATAAATCCAGTTACTTTGAAGCTGATAGTAGAAAAGTGGGAAGTAGCCTTGAACCCACTGGCATAGTAGACAAATTCCTCAATATAAAACCAGCAGCACAGACACTGAGAGCAACAATTAATATATGGGACCTCCTAAAACTAAAAAGTTTCTGTAAAGCAAAGCGCACTGTCAATAAGACAAGATAGTAGCCTATAGAATGGGAAAAGATCTTCATCAACTCCACATCTGACAGAGGTCTGATCTTTAAAATATTTTAAAAACTCAAGAAATTAGACATCAAAATACCAAATAATTCAATTAAAAATAGGATACAGATCTAAACAGAGAATTCTCAACAGAAGAATCTCAAATGGCCGAGAAACACTTAAAGAATTGTTCAACATTCTTAGCTAGCAGGGAAATGCAAATCAATATGACTCTGAGATACCATCTTACTTCTGTCAGGATGGCTAAGACCAAAACACTAATGACAGCCTCTGTTAGAGAGGATAGGAATGAGGGGAACACTCCTCCACTTCTGGTGGGAGTGCAAACTTGGACAGCCACTTTGCTGACAGTATGCTGTCCTAATTGGACAAACAGGACACAAAGGAAAGTGAGTACCAACCTTTGTCAAGACAAGGAGAGAAAGCCTTTTGAACTATCTTGCTTCACAGAAAAGTCTGTCGGATATGCTAGGTCTATAGGCTGAAGATGGAGGCACCAGTTGCAGAGGAACTTTGGGTGACTGTCTGAGCAGTCAGCTGTTTTTGTCATTACAATTTTGAAAGTCACTTGCTGGCACATGATGCTTACTCAGTTGATAGTATTTCCTTCTTGGGTCTCTGAGGGAGTTGAAGACTAGATACAGTTTTCCTTGTTTACTAGACACAGAAAAGCAAGTTATAATAGTAAATTAGGTACAAAAATTTGGACTCACCAAGATAGAATAGATATTATTTTCTCTGAATTTGTCAACTGCAAATGGACTATACATTTCTGATGTATTTATTGTCTGTATATATTTTACATAGTCATTGCATTTATTGTATATAGTTTTTCTTATATTAGTTATAGCCTTCTTTTCTATTTTAGACAAAAGGGGAAATATAGTGATATTTTGTGTTTTAATAAATAAAGCTTGCCTGAAGATCAGAAGGGCAAAACTAAGCCACTAGAGGTCAGGCAGTGGTGGCTCAAACCTTTAATCCCAGGATTTGGGAGACAGAGGCAGAAGGATTTTTGTGAGTTCAAGGCCACCCTGGACTACACAAGATTAATGTAGAAACAAATCCAGGTGGTGGTGGCTCACAACTCCAGTACTAGGGAGTCATGTGCCTTTAATCCCAGCACTAGAGGGAATATAAAATGGGAGGAGAGAGAGAGACTAAGTCTGCTTAGTCTGAGGTCGCCCAACCTAGGTAGAGGTGAGACTTCTCTAGTGGCTTGGTTGCTTTCCTTTTTCTGGTTTTTGGGTTGAACCCTAATAGCTATCTCTGGGTTTTTTATTATTCATGCTGCAGTATGGTGGTTTCTCAGAAAATTGGGAATCTAGTGTGTGTGAGCAGGTGGCCCAGACCCTGTGGCAGAATGATGGTATTTCATCTTCCCAGTCTATGATCCCAGTCTTGGCAGTCCTGACAGGCAGATGCTGGGGAGGCCAACTTCAAATGCTTTCCTGTGACATGTGGGCACCGGTTGAAAAAAGACTGGAGAACATGGCAACTCCATGATGCAGTGCCCTGGAAAGCCATCGGGAAGGGAGGAGGTCTCACTGGACCATTTATAAAACAACTGACTGCTGTCTCATGGACTGGAAAGCATCCATCAGAACGAACCTGTACGTTCTGTTTTCAGCCCACAGTCCTGCTCCTCGCTCAGGGACATTAGGGACTGTGCATCTCCCTGCTACCATAAAACAGAAACACATAATCCAGAAGGAAGCCCATGATGGTAGTTTATGGAAGAAGCAAGGCAGGTAGGTAGCCTGAATCCAGAGCGCATCTGCCCAGGTCGTGAAACTGCTTTCCTTCTGCATCCATCGGCTTCCGGTTCACTTCTGATCTCCAGGTGATTGGTTTACGAAGAGAAGGGAGGTTTGGGTTGAGGCTGTAGTTCAATGACAAGAGGACTTGCTTAGCGTGCATTAGGACCGAGGCTCAATCTCCAGTGTTGTCAAATAAAGAAACAAAGAAATAAAAGAGAAGAGAATATGCTGGCCGAGCTTTGGAGGCCATGGTCTCTCTGGAGTGTGGAGAGAAGTATCGTGGTGGAACTGTGTGGTGGGACTGTGTGGTGCTCACCTCATGGTTGGAAAGACAGGGAGAGATTGTTATCCTTTCTGAGGGCACCTCTAGGAGCCTAACTTCTTGCTCATTCTGATAGAGCAAGTTGTGGATGAAGCCCTTAACTTGCAGACATTCTGGGAGACATTCCAGGTCCAAATTACTGCACCCTCCATTTTGGAAGGGGTCACCTGTAATCCCCTGGACACCCCAGAGGCCTCAACTGTGAGACAGCGACGTAAGCACAGTACTCATGGTCTGCAGGCTGGCCTTGGAAAGGAGATCTCTGTGGTGACTTGTAAGTCAAAAGCCTCTGCCCATGCAAGCATGGACTCTTTCTATACAAGCCCAAGGATGGCTAGTGATATCACAGAACAGGCTACCCATGCCTCTGCGTCTCAAGGGACTCCTCACACAGGGTTCTTTTTGATGAGTATAAACATGCCTCCAAACGTCTCAGGGTACTTGAGAGATCGATTTCTTTACTCTCCTATATATACATCTGTCACTGTGCCTCCTTGTCATTAATCTAACTCTATTCCAGTCATACAGATGCAGCTGGCCTGGGGAGTTTGGTTGCCTGTCTGCTATGCAGTCATGATTGCAGCCAGAAGACAATCGCCTGAAGGGTAAGGTTGTCCTGAAGGATACAAGTCAGGGCTGAAATCCGTCGTCACTTCCCTCCCATGACATGAACGTGACCACCATGGTCGGGGACAAGAGAGGGTGGCCTGGTGAGTAGTTCTCATCGCTGTTAGGCCGCGGAAATAAGAGACTGTGCTTTCCTCTCCCACCTCAGGCCCCTGCTGGAATCTTCAAGCAGAGGCTCTGAGATCTTACCAAGTTGGAAGCTGAGATTCTTGGGGACTTTGCAAGCCACCAAGTCAACACAAAACCATTCATGACTCTACCGACTAAGAAACTGAATCTTTTTTTTTTAATTAAATTGTTCTATGAACTTCAATTGACTTCATTATTCTTAATGTCCTGGCCGTATAGAACCTGGACAATCTATAATAGTGTCTTTGTTTTTGTTTCCCTGTTGCTGTGTAAACACCCTGACAGACAGGAAGAAAAGGGTTATTCTGCCTCACAGCTCAAAGGTACGGTCTGGCGTGGCAGGAAAGCCAAGGCAGAAGAGGCTTGAACCACCTGATGACATTGTATCCGCAATAAAGCATAGAGATCTGCGAATGCAAACTGACACTTAGTTCTCTCCCCCCACTTATGGGTTCCAGGTTTCCAGGTGGGGACTTGTTCTACTCACCGTGGTGGGTTTTCCCCGCTCAATGATTATATAATCAGGGCAATTTCCTGGAGCCATGTTCAGCTGCACATCTCCAGGTGATGCTGGAGAGCTGAGTCTTTAGTAAAGAAAACGGATTTTTTGTTTTGTTTTATTTTTTTGTTTTACCGAATAAGGCACAATGGGCTACCAGGGGCATCATGTGTGGAACCCAGGGCCCTCTTTTGGGAGGCTTCAGTCAAGTCCATGTCCCCACATAAAAGTTAAATAGCAAACTAGCATCCAGTAATTGGCCTTTGAGGACTCTGGATTCCTATCAGGAAAATGCCCAAGAAGAGCAAAGGAAACATGGGTCAGCCACAGAGTGGGGACTTAGGGATGATTGCCAGGACCCAAGGAGTTGTAGAAGAGGCATATTTTCTTCCTTACTGTGTGTGTATGTCTGTGTGTGCATGCACACATGTTTACAAATCTATGGCTCCATATCTGTGGGCTGAAAATCCAAGCATATGGAGAGCAAATATACTGGAGAAGAAATATTCCCATGACCAGGTATTTTCTTGAGAGGCTAGTCTCTGAACCTGGCAAGTATGACACTGATAACTAACATTACAAAGTATTAGACCTCTTGTGTGTAATGATTTAACGTCTGCAGGAGATGTACAGAGGCTCTATGCAGACACTGTCACTTTAAGAAAAGCTGGGAGCATCTGTGGCTTGTGATATTTGTGGGGGTGCAGGGATGAGTCCTTCTGACACGGGGACAACTGTACCCTGTGCACACTGTGAGTGTGTGGCAGGGACACACACAGAGGGCTTGCTTCACTTTCTGTCACCGTTGTCCTAGCAACGCTTCTTTCCTTACCAGCTGCAATTTGTTCCAGTTCGTTCCCTCCATATAGAAGAATCTTTCAGAGATTGTCAACAACTTGTGCTCAGATACCAGAGCCCAGCTCTGTGTCCTCTGGGCCTCTTAAGCCAGAGCCCCAGCTGAGCAGGACTCCCTCTGCCCTCTCCACAGGCCTGGACCCCACTCAGGAGAGCCTCCTCCTCTTGGCTTGTGTGTGCTAGGGACTGAACTGAGGGGCTTGCACACATCTCGTGGCAAGCGCCTTATCACTGAGCTACAGCTGTGAGAGGCAGCTGCCTCCTGCAGACGGTCCTCTGTGATCTAGGTTCCCTGTTTGTGTTTTTTGTCTTCCCGTATTAGCTTGTCTACTTCTCCATTGTAAAATCACTCTTTTAAAAATAACGGAGACATCCTTTTCTTTAACGGTTTATTTTTATTTATCAGTGTGTTCCTGGGGGAGGTGGAGGGGTGTGTGTGTGTGTGTGTGTGTGTGTGTGTGTGTGTGTGTGTGTGTGCACGTGTGTCAGCCAGGAGAGGGCATCCAATCCCCCAGCTTTGGAGTTACAGGCAATTATGGCGTACCCGACACAGGTGCTGGGAATTGAACTAAGTCCTTTGGGAGAGCACTCAACCTCTTACCCACTCGGCCATCTCTTGAACTCCCCGAGGCATCTTTGGTTTTCCAAATGGTATATGTATTTCATAATTTCATGGCATGCTTAAGAGTTAAGAACTTGGGGCTGGAGAGATGGCTCAGCGGTTAAGAGCATTGCCTGCTCTTCCAAAGGTCCTGAGTTCAATTCCCAGCAACCACATGGTGGCTCACAACCATCTGAAATGAGATCTGATGCCCTCTTCTGGCCTGCAGGCAGATACACAGACAGAATATTGTATACATAATAAATAAATAAACAAATAAATATTTAAGAAAAGAATATTTAAAAAAAGAGTTAAGAACTTTATCAGTGTGTATATCTATCTATCTATCTATATATATATATTTACACAATAGAAGATTATGTAAATATAATAGAATAGAATTAGAATAGAATAGAAAATATATATATATTTACATAATAGAAGTCGAGAGCCAGGGTTGGTTAGCTAGTGCCCTATCCTCATCCTGTGGTCTTTTAAGCACCTTTCCAAACTTCCCATGAAAAGTCAGCTTTCAACCCGAAGAACTAAGACGAGCCTTCTACCCCCTAGTCAGTCCCAAGGTCTCCTATGGGAGACCACCAGAGTCAGACACAATGGGAACTTATTGGCCTCAGCTGGACCCCTGGGGGTCTATAGGCTTTTGTCCCAGTGAACCCCGCAGGCCAGTCTAGATCTTTCTAAGATTCTCCCATTAGTGCTAATGCTTGGCTCCTAGGAGTCGGATGAGGATTTGTGTGCCAGCTTCCCTGGACTGGGCGTTCCTGCCAGGCAGGGTCCTGCCTCCTGTGGACCGGCATCCTGCAGAGTTTAAGAACACACACTTTATGGGTCCAGTTCCTGACTCGACAACTCAGTCACCATCTACAAGATGAGGCTTTTGATTTCTCCCTTCCAGGCTGTTGTATAGACTGGACTCCACATGAGAGGAATGAGCCATGCCCTGTGGAGCCATTCAGTGCAGGTCACCCTCTACCTCTGTCCCCATACTGAGAGCAGGGCACAGCATGCAGTGGGCCCTGGATGCATGGCTGTATCTGAGTCCTGGCACAGTGCTGTGCCTGAGAGAGACCCAGGACTCTGGACTCTTCCCAGGGAGGGAAAGACATTTCCTTAGTTCTTCTACATTTCAGGAAACCAGGAAAGCATAAATCAAAATCTGTCACACGGCAGCTGTATCTTCTTGCTTACCGTCACAACCCCTGGTGATTACATACCTAGGGCCTCTTCAGTTTTCATCCACGCAGGAAGTGTCCTGAGCATTAGCAAAAAGGAAATCCTGGGATCATCGGGTTCACATCCCATCCAAAGGGAAAAATACATTCCGCTCTATATAGGGGCGCACACAAGTCCACTTCAATCCTCCTCCTCTTAGGCCATAAGATTTTTTGCAATTATGATCACTATTGTTGTTGTTGTGTGCACACTAGCATGCACGTGGAGCTCAGAGGACCACTCTTTGGAGTTGGTTCTCTCCTTCTGCCTTTATGTAGGTTCAAATTCAGGTAATTAGGTTGGGAAGCAAGAGCTTTCACCTGCTGAGTCATCTCGCTGGCTTCATAATGATTCCCTCTGAGGGCATCTTACTGAGTACCTAGGACTCAGGGCGACTAAATAACTGGATCGACTCGTGCTTTACACACATGGTGGTTTTATTGAGTAGACATCAAAGCTCCTCTGTATCAAGTGATGGAGAAGCCATGTCACACGGGTTACAGAGCTATTTTTACTTAAAATAATCTTTCATAAAAGAAAGAAAGGAAATACTGTTCTATAAAAAGTGCAGTAGTCATTACTGGAAGTGTTCCAAAATGAAAGCAAGGTTTACTACATATTGCAAAAATCGGTTCAGTGCTTTAATACTTCACAATGGAACGACCTCGTCACTTTAGACAGCTCTTACAATGGGTTTCTTCACCGACAATGGACCAGATGGAAGAGAAGATTTGTATGGAATTAGCATGAGCACTCAACATGTGGGCAGAAAGGATTTTTTGAACAACTTGGTCGAAACATGGTGATCTATGACCCATTTTTTTTGCCTCAGCATTTTCCTTTGTCCACAATAATAAATAGAAAGCAAAGCAATCTATTTCATCCCCAAATCAGTTGAGAGAGAGAGAGAGAGAGAGAGAGAGAGAGAGAGAGAGAGAGAATTCATGATTGTGTGAGGCTAAATGCCCATTTAAAGGAACTAGGCAAGCACAGGCTGAGGAACCCTTTGTTATAAATCAGCTTCAGTGCTTCCAGTTACAAGGAGGCCAGTTTGTCAAAAATGAAGGGGGATGGAGTGCAGGCTCTGTCAACGAGGCAGTGATGGGTCACCAAGCTTAGTCCCTGCTTGGACTCAGTTGAGCCTGCTTTCTACGCCTAAGTGTTCCTTTATTTGTGTCACTGGGGGCCCAGTGTCTGCCACCTGGGGTTGTGGCAGAGCTGAGCTCCGTGGCCTGGATACTGGCTCTGTTGGAGGCAGGTTGGTCTCTGTGCTCTGGACTCTTAGACACGGCTGGTCTGTATTGTATGCTCATGCCTATACAATAGTTTGGGTCATGGGGTGAGGGCTGACCCACTCTCACTGCCAAGCCGTAATTCAAACTCTGATGTGCTCACACAGAAGCTGAGAGCTGGGCTGCCCCTGGGCACTTGCCAGGATGAGCAGTGCCCTCTGGGAAGCCATGGCCCCTCTGAGTCCTGGCAGGAGCAGGGGCCCAAGTTGCTCGGGCAGCAGTGAAAGGAGTATCACATATTTGGCAATTCATGTATGGGAACACACATGCAAGGGCCCATTTGCACAGCTGGACAGATGCGGAGGGAATTTATGAGGGATATCACACCTGAGAGGAACCCTATAGTATAGCATCCAGAGAGATGAAAGCAAGAGCCACGGAAGAGGATAAAAGAGGACACAGCCTTCACACCAGGTCACAAGAGGACAAAGGTCCAATGAACAGCTTGTAACAGTGTTTTGCCAGTGATTCTTAGAAGAAAATGAATTTGGCCAAAGGACCAGGAAGTAAACAGTGCGGTTAGGTAGCTGTGAAAATACCTGGCAGAGGAAACAGACTTTGGAGCAGCAGTCCCTTAGGTGGGTGAGGTCAAGCGCAGGGTGTCTCCATTAGTGTCCTAGGCCCATGGAGGTGTGTGGGGCTTTCTGTCGTTCCCGTGCACACCCGGTGTCAAACCCACTGAATCCCACCACCGTCCCAAATCA